TTTTTTTTTTTTTTTTTTTTTTTTTTTTGTTTGTTTGTGATAGAGTTTATGCACGATAATACCTTTACGTAATTTTCTTCTTTTATTGGATTTATCTAAAAAACAAAAATTTAATTTTGTTTTAAAAAGTTTATCTGAATTGATGCGAAAAATATTTAATAAAAAAAACTTCAAGGGAATTGTTTCGCCACATGAATTTCTTCAGGTATTTTTATTTTTTTTATTTATTTTTTTTTTTTTTTGTTTTGGTTTGGTTTGGTTTGGTTTGTTTTGCTTTGTTTTGTTCTGTTTATTTATTTTATTTGTTTTGTTTTATTTGTTTGTTTATTTGTATATTATCTTTTGATATTATGTACGTATCACCACATGAATTTCTTGAGGGATTCATTTTACTTTATTTTATTTTATTTTATTTTATTTTATTTTTATTTTATTTGCTTTTATTTTATTTTATTTTATTTTATTTTGCTTTATTTTATTTTATTTTATTTTATTTTGTTTTGTTTTATTTATTTATTTATTTTATTTGTTTTGTTTCATTTGTTTATTTATTTATTGATGTTATTTGTTTATTATTTTATACATTTTTTATTAATATGATTTACATATCACCGCATGCATTGCGTCAGGTATTGATATTATATTTATTTTATTTTATTTTATTTATTTTATTTTATTTTATGCTATTATATTTATTTTATTTTATTTTATTTATTTTATTTTATTTTATTTATTTTATTCGTTTTATTTATAGTTATTTGATTTATTTGTTTATCTGTGTTATTTGTGTATTATTTTATAAAACCCCATTCTGTTTATTCTTTTTTTTTTTACTTTTATTATTTTTATTTTTATTATTTTTATTTTTATTTTTATTTATTATTTCTTTATATACATCTCTGCATGCATACACGCATCTCTGATCGTTTCTTTCACGCATGCATGCATGCATGCATGCATGCATGCATTTGTAATATATTATATTCTATTTAAAACAAAATAAAACAAAACAAAATAAAATAAAATAAAATAAAATAAAATAAAATAAAATAAATAAATAAATTTATTTTTTTTTATAGGCTGTAGGAGTTGAAAGCAAAAAAAAATTTCGTATAGGGGAGCAATCCGACCCCCTAGCTTTGTTTGCTTGGTTATTAA